CGCATTCAGGCATGGTATTAATATCAGTATATTATGCGAAGAGGTCACGTGAAACAAAATGATTGGCGTTCTCTAAATGCACGCCCTCCATAAATGCAAGCGCATCGTCGGTCCCGACGACGTGCATTTAGAGAGGTCTGACTGTAACACTTGCTACAACACGTTTTCAAACTACACAAAAAGATTGCAAGCAAACTATCTGCATTATCCAAAAGCTTTTATACAATAAAAATGGTTTGTTATTTTGATTTCTGACAACAGCCTGCATGCAGCAAAGAAGGCTAATTGGTTTCCATTTGCAGAAATTCCTGCTTTTGGTTGTTCATGTTTCTTTTTGTATATTAATATCAATAACTGCCATGAGTTGCTATAACACTCCATCTAGGTAGTGACTCACGTTGCGTAGCGGGGATGCTCTTATGAGTATCGACAATGTTAACTCCCTCAATTTGAGAGTGTAAGTGTTCATAATCGGTTTGCTGTTCGATTAACTGAACCGGAGTTTATCAATTACTAATTGAGTCATCGTTTAGCCTATGACATGTTATGTTACCTTGAGTTACTTAGCTATTCCGATGTAATAACATTACCGCTCGACGCCAAAGCGGAGAGTATTATAGCATTACTGAACTAAGTGAAATAGAGTTACGCTTCTCTATGCTTAGGAGGAATAGCAGGGTACGGGAATATTCGTCTAGACATGTGATTATCGTGACGAGTTATTATTATAGAAGACTACGATGAGAATAATTCGTATAATCGTTCTCACACAGAACCCATTAATGAAGCGGTACTGAGTAGAACCCTCAGGATAGCCTATCGCGTTCACATCCAGTATCTGATATAATTGGTATTACTGTTGAGAGAGGCGGTTCATGTGCTGAAAAGAATCTTTCAGAATTATTAGTATTTTACTTGAATTATTCACTATCAGTATAGATTGGCTGGGACAAGTGAACGTCTTTAAATTCTCTGACAAAATGCTGATAATAATAATAAACATTTTTCACGTAATTGTAAAATTTTTTTCGTGACACAATCCAATGATTAATATCAACCAATCAAATTTATTACCATTTACGCGTATTTATATGAAGCGAGCCCGCGAGGCAATTGCTTCCCGACAGTACAACAATATGGACGGCCGGTTTAACTTGATGCTTTTCGGTAATATTAATGCCTGAATTCACCATACTTGTTAGTTCTAGTACTTATTATCTCAAACCTTAGACGCGGCAGCGACTTCGTATTTCGAAGAGACTCCACTCCTTACACGGCTTGGTCATTCACTGGCTTTTTAACCGCAGTCAAGAGTTTCTGGTCGACCTCTTCTCTAAGCGACGACTTAGTGTCGACATTGAAGAAACGCTATACAACGTATCTCAAAGACATATCCGGAAACAAAAAGGAAGTCAAGGAGAAGCGACGCATGGCGGATTTCCTCATAAAACAGGTTTATTCTTTCTATTTACAAGATATTCCGGATCAGAAGGATTATGCAGCTCTGGAAGGGTGACGTTCCTTTCCAGGGTGGTGTCGTCCCGCGCATGCCTTCTGCTGCCACACAGCCAGGGAGGGTGTCGTTCCTTCCCGTGGTATGGGTGTCGTTCCTCGTGTGGCATACGTCTGGGGTTTTTTCTTGTTGTCTTATACGATTTATAACCGTGACATACTTTCAAAATTGATATTCGATTGTTTATTCTAGAAAACGGATCCTGCCATTAAAGAAATTTTGGAATCGATCATTCTCGACGAGAAACTTGCTTTAAAAGAGGTACATGTGTGCTGGGTTTCACCTCCTTTGTAGATACTGTTTTTGACTCGTACATTTCCAGGTTTCCTCAAAGCGCAAGAGCGAAATCGGTGCTTTAGATG